ACACATTGCACAATAAAATATTTTGAACGTAAATTTAAAATTTTTCTCTACTTTTTAAACACATATTCTCCAAAATTCACTATTCAAAATATTAAAAATTTTACATGACGGCCATCAAACAGTGGTTACTTTCTATCTCTTATTTTAATTTTATTTTAGGGAAAATTGCAAGTGAAATACCAAACATTTCAGTTAGTTGCAGACTTTACCCAAACTTTTCATTTGTACCACTCACGGTAACAAACCTTTAAAAAAAATCGCAGCATAAGTCCAAAATAATGATTTCTGTTAGTTTGACCCCAAAAACTTTTAGTTGACTCAGAAATTAAAAATCTAATAATTTTCTCCAGATAAGGTAAAGACATTTTGGACACAATACATTTACTCTATTAAATCAAAAATAAAAAAAATAGAAAACAAAACTACAAGCCCTACTTATTCCTCCGGTGTATCTACTTCTACAAACACTGCCGCCTTTCTTGCCACGACTGCCACCTGGGCACCATCCCAGTCCACCGTACTCTACCGGGTTGACGGGTGGGGAGTCCCTTACTTCACCGTCAACTCCTTCGGTAATATTTCAATCCGTCCTCGTTGTTTGGGGATGCTGGCTCACCAGGAGATAGATCTCCTCAAGGTCGTAAAGAAGACCTCCAAGCCGAAATCTTCTGGTGGGCTCGGGCTTACGCCCCCTCTCACCGTGCGCTTCCTAGATGTGTTAAAAAATAGAATTGAATCTCTGCAGTCAGCTTTCAATCTTGCAATACAATCGCATGACTGTGAGGCCCATTACCAGGGCATTTATCCTGTGAAATGCAATCAAGACAGGTACGTGATTGAGGACATTGTGGAATTTAGGTAAGAGGCTTTTGCTTTGGGCTTGAAGTGGGCTCCAAACTTGAGCTTCTCTTGAAGGTTTTGAAAATGGCTGTGGGTGAGAGAGCTGCTGGTTTTGAGGTGGTGGTAGTGGGAGTGCTTGGTTTTGATGCCACATTGGGGTCGACGTTAAGCTGGTGGTACCGAAGGTAGCAGTCGAAGAGAGGGTGGAAGTTGCTTTTGTTTTGGGTTGAGGTGGTTGGGGAAGAAGGAGATGGGGGTGGGGTGGGGGGTCGTAGTTTTGTTTTTTTTTTTTTATTTAATAGAGGAAATATATTATGTCCAAAATACCCTTACCTTATTTGGAGAAAATTATTAGATTTTTAATTTCTGAGTCAACTTACGGTTTTTGGGGTCAAACTAAAGAAACTGTTATTTTGGACTTGGGCTGCGATTTTTTTAAAGGATTGGTACCGTGTGTGGTACAAATGAAAAGTTTGGATAGAGTCTGCAACTAATTGAAATATTTGGTACCTCAGCTGCAATTTTCTCTTTATTTTATTTGACTAGAGTATTACAATAAGATATTCTTCACACCTTAATTTCATGTATTTTTATGTATGAAAATCAACTGAACATGATTAAGAAGAATAAAATATTGATTTGGTGACTCAATTTATATGTAGTACAACTTGATTTATAATAATTCGTATCGACTATAGAGTTCGAAGCTTAGATAAGTACGTTTATGTAATTCGATAAACTTAAAGAGTTATAAAGAAATAAAGTAATAGGAAAATGACAGCGCCGTTGTGTATATTAGAAAAATGTACTAAATTAAATTTATAATGAAAATATTATATAACATATTAAAAATATTAACAAGGTAAGAGATTTGATACTACATTTTTGTCTTATTTGACCCAAAATAAAAATCGTCGCTAAATTTTGATCCTACTGAGACTGGAACCTCTGCCCCCCCTGGCCAAATGCAAATCAAATCAAATCAAATCAAATCCAATCCAACACTTAAGGCACCGTTTGGTAATCATTATTCTAGAAAAGAATGCATGCTTTGTGTCAAATCACACCTTTTTTGTGGTTGAAAATGAAGGAAAAGTTATTGATGTGATGGAAAATATTATTTTATTGATGAATGTGTGGTTGAAAATTAGTAGAAGAATGAGAATGAAAAAAAGAATGGTTACCAAACGGTGCCNCGGTGGGGTAGGGTGGAAGAAAGGCCATATGTGGGACCCAGTGAGGCTATGCGGGCTGTACGCGTAATATATAGAGGCTGTTATGCTGATTACCAAAAGTACCCTCCTTATAATTAGTTTACTTAGGCACCGTTTGGTAACCATTATTTTAGAAAAAAATGTATTCTTTGCGTCAAATCACACTTTTTTTGTGGTTGAAAATGAAGAAAAAGTTATTGATGTGATGAAAAATATTATTTTATTGATGAATGTGTGGTTGAAAATTAATAGAAGAATGAGAATGAAAAAAAGAATGAATACCAAACAGAGGCTTAACCCATATTTCGCTCCATTCAATCCATTCGTGTTCTTCCTTCCCAAATTATCTTCTTAGCATCACTCCGCCCACACCAGCAATCTGGCCAGCGAAGCACTTTTCAGTTGGTGGTGTTCTGTGTTCCTCTCTCTCAAGATTAATAGAACGTTCTAATTCTATTGCATTGCCTGGTGAGTCGGTGACCTCCGCCTAAACTAAATCTAATTGAAAGTTAGTGTTTCAATCAGCGTTGTGACTACACTAGGAGTCTAAGATTCTGTTGTGTTGCTAAGATTATGTTTTGGATTGCAATAATTGTCAAGAAATAAGTTATTTTTTGTTAAAATTCCTATTGCTTATAAAATTGTCTAAAAATCACTTAAATTTTGGATGGGATGTGCTTCTACGTCATGTTTTTTAAATTTTGTTATTGTTTGCAACTTGGCATATTGGGATTAGTTTATGAATTATGGACAAATTCGGATTTTGCAGGCATTCATTATGTTACGTCAGGTTACGGTGTCTCTTCTGATTTCTAATTTTTCATTGTCAAATTATACACATCTTGCGTCAAATTGGTATCACGACAATTCGTTTTCCTTTGACTTAACATCCTTAGTTCTCAAGTCCAAAAATTCACCCACCATTTCCATCCATTTCATATAGCACTCACTCCATTCCATATACTGCCTCAAAATCCCGACCTCAATAACCACCAATTCCACCCCAAACAGCCTCATATTACAGCTCACCTCACCCATCCAATTACTCGTTATACTTCCATCCACAGCCCAAGCCTACTAAGCCATTACCGGTTCAATCATTCGTAAGAATTCAATTACAGCAATAACCTTTACATGTGTTTTCTATCATTGTAGTCTTGTCAACTTGAAGATTATGATTGGGACAAAGTTGGGCTCTTTTGAGTCTCGTGAGGTACTTATTTCTTTTATGTTGGTAATAGCTTTTATTTCATTATTTTGGCCTGTCAGTTTTTAAGTTAACAAAAAAATAATTAAAATAATTGAATTTCTAGTTGCTTTATTTGAAAAAAAATGATAAAAAAATATTTTTACGTGAATTCCGAAAGTTAGGAGTATAATTGTAAACAAGTGGACAAAAACTTCTTCGACATTCATGGTCTTTAAAGAACTCCTAATTTTACTTGAACAAACCAAGAATTTGCTCTCACAAGTCACAAGTTGACCAATCACTTGCTATGTCTGTGACATCCCTCTCTACACTTATCATAGCATTGGTATTCGATGAGCTTTTGCAGCATCCGATTTTCTATATAAGTTGTAATTGCTTCTTGCCCTCGTAAAATATTTCGTATCACGGAACTCTTATAGCGATGAGACAATGCTTGACATGTTTCCACTAATTATACCTTCATTTGCATTTCTTACTGACACATCCACCAACTTATATGCTAAGGGAGTTAGGACACTTGAAACTATGGCTAATGTGATCATCATGTTGGATTTAGGTTGTTAGCATATGATAATTAACATGTTTCAACATTTTCTTTTAGCCCTAAAAAATAATCCTCTAGGGAATATATTCACATCTATAGAGACAATTATGATCCTTATATTGGAAGAAAGTGACAATATCTCTTTAGACTTAATCACCTTTGTTTTGAATAGCGTTAAAAAGGACAATAAGGATGTTTGTATTTAATGTAGTTGAAAGACTTCGAAAACTGTGTTGACACGATCAAACCATATATGTCACAATCTATAAAAATTTTAGGGATTTCTTTAAATAATTATAGTGTAGTTTTTCCCCCCCCTTTGCATAGAAGATGAGAGTCTTGAACAGTGTATTGTATCCCCTATCGTGAGCACACATATAGTCATTACACTTATTACAAACATAATTGAGAAATTACGTATATCATTGCCATCGAAATCAAACATTCCACATGTCCTAAATCTCATGCCTACTCTTTTGCATGACATTCACAGTGACTTTGTTTCGGTGTGGCCTCAACTACATGATACTCCTCGGGTTGCCACATTGTTTTCCAATGCAATTATTCGATTGCAAACTTTTCATATTGCTATTATGATGTTGGCCACTAATTATTTGCGTATTGTATTAGCTCAATCTTTTGATGTTAATGTTCCTAAATTTCATGCCAAGTTAAAAAGACAAATTATTTTCAATTTTGAAATTTTTGAGCTTGTTTTTTTATGTGCAATATAGGTAAAGAGACTCCAACAGTGATTATTATACTT